TTTTTTTTATGTTGGATCATGTGTGTTTCTTGCATTCTTGCACATAGCCAACAAGGCCAGTCAGGGGGACCAGCCATTCCTGTCCTGTGCAGAAAATAGACATCGTGGAAAGTGTGAGTCTGTTCGAGGCCTTGGGGCAACAACAGGGAGATGCCAATGGAGGCAAGGCAATGAGAAAGGTGCATTTTATTTGATTAAAACTCAAAAACTATAACATCTTGCCTCATTTTTTATTACATCAGTGAATCATACATGTATATATCATGAAATATATGAGACAGAGAGTAACTCACCCTAATCAGTTGATCATTGCGCTAATGTCCCTTGATGGCAGTACGAACAACCCCATATGATGACTAAAGAAAGTCCTCACAGTGATGTTTTATTCCACCTTAAAGGTCTTTTTGAGTCAAACATTAAAACATTTCGCTCATATTCCTTTACAGTTATATCTGAGAATTACTCGACCTGTTCCCCTGACCTAAAGACATGTCCAGATGGTTTTTGTGATGCAATTGAAAGCAAAGATTCATCAATATGCCCACAAGACTGTACAAGTAAGAGAACACATGCCATGCTTATCATCACACTAATAAACAAATAAAAGCTGCAAAGCCCTTATTTCTTACATGTATATACATGTAAGATTATTTTGTATGTTACTTTTTGACATTCTTACTTATTCTTAAGAGGAAACTGTAATCGGAGGACATGAACGAGGCTTGAGGAACGGAATCCAGGCTGGTTATGGAACCTGCTACTGCTATGCTGAGAGATGCTTCTGTGAGAAGGAAGATGTAGAGGGTGAGATATCATAAGTCACTGCCTGTTATAAAGTCATATACTACATCTTCTCAAGAATTAAACATAAAAGGATTTCTGCTTTCCTGAAAAATGACGATTGTGCAATATTCTCTTCTCTAGAGACGATATGTGACGACATGTGTAAAACCATCATCGCCACAGCGTTGCTCCTGTCCTTCATCGTTTCAATCATCATGTCATCATATTTCATACATCGGTACCACAAGAACTCTCCTAAGCCCCCGATTGCCTCTGCTGAGATGACTTTCCGCCGGCCGGCTCAGGCCTACCCCATTAGCTTCCCTGCAAATAACATACGACGGGGCTCACAGGAATCCATTGAAACAGACACCTTTAAAATACCTGTAAGTTGCTTCGACAGCATGTGGCACGCTTTTCTGCGTTGTATATTGAATTGGTAAAGAAGTTGGTTTTTTTTTAAATAACAATGTTTTTCAACAGGAGGATCCTAAGTGGGAGTTTCCTCGTAAAAACCTTGTACTTGGCAAGACTTTGGGAGAAGGTGAATTTGGAAAAGTTGTCAAAGCAACAGCATTCAGGCTTAAAGGGAAGGCTGGATACACTACTGTGGCTGTGAAAATGCTTAAAGGTAAGACAGACAGATAGCAGAAATGATGGGAAAGTAATTGTGTGTGAGGAGTGAATGTCTTCATCATTACAACCACTTCTCTTTCTCCATGATAGAAAATGCCTCCTACAGTGAGCTGCGTGACCTGCTGTCAGAATTTACTTTACTGAAGCAAGTCAACCATCCCCATGTCATAAAGATGTATGGAGCATGCAGTCAGGACGGTAAGACTTCAGTTTACCTGCCAAACATTCATGTGTGTTGCACATGGAGTCTAAGTGCTTCCTTTCTCTGAATAGGCCCATTGTATCTGATTGTGGAGTATGCCAAGTATGGGTCACTGCGCAACTTCCTGCGGGAGAGTCGGAAAGTTGGCCCAAGTTATATGGGCAGGGATGCCAACCGAAACTCCAGCTACCTGGAGAACCCAGACGACAGGGCACTAACCATGGGTGACCTGATCTCCTTTGCATGGCAGATCTCCAGAGGCATGCAATACCTCGCAGAAATGAAGGTATAGCTCAAAAAGTGATACATTCATATTTTCCAAAAGAAATGTATTTTTTAGCTACGGTTTCTGCAAATATTCAAAAATGACAACCCAAGCTGTGTTTTGATTCAAATATTTACAAGAGTCGAAGAGCTTAGACAACTTAAAGTGTTCTTTGTGGTCTGACAGCTTGTCCACAGGGACCTTGCAGCACGAAATGTCCTTGTAGCTGAGGGACGGAAGATGAAGATCTCAGACTTTGGCCTTTCCAGAGACGTGTATGAGGAGGACTCGTATGTTAAGAGGAGCAAGGTAAATGAGAAAGAAGTACTCATTTTATTGTATTTATCAAAATCTTGAAATTAATACTAACATGGTCTCTCTCTGTTCTCCAGGGCCGTATACCTGTTAAATGGATGGCAATAGAGTCCTTGTTTGATCACATTTACACAACACAAAGTGACGTGTAAGTTCGAACAGCATTTACAGGGAAAACTAAGTTTGAAAATACACTCATCGGATTTGTTCCTGGAAGTCAGATCAGAAGATTGAAACTACTTTTGTATCTGTATGATAAATCAATGGTTAGCTTTGCCTAGCAAAATGACTTAGAAACAAATGTGAAACAGCAAAGCTTGGTTTAATGATAACAGGATCAGCTCACAGCCTTTTATAAGAATACATTTTACCACTACATTATCATCTATAATGAACATCAAAAACAAAAACAATGATTGTAAACGGTAAAACCATAGTGCAAAGGAGGCTAGAGAGATAAAGATATTGTGTGAGTGTTTGCTTTTTACACACAAGATAGTAGATCTATTTAGTAGTGTCCATAGATTTGTGAATAACAGTAATTATATTCTTATTTGATTTTATTTGTAAATCTAAACATTAAAGTAAAAAACAACAAAATAGTTATAAATAGCTACAGTGGATTTGCCAGTGTTATAGCAAAGGGATTGTCCTGACACAGTATGATTAGACACACAGCTCTGTTCATGCTATGGTAAAGAAACTGTCATTGTTTCTGGTTCTCTTGGCATAGATTGCTCTATTACAGAACCAGGCCAGAGAGGCGATCAGGCACAGAGCCAGGCTTCATGCTTTCTTGGTTCAACTGGCAATGCATAGTGAAGATTAGACTATATAAACATATCTTCTTATTTTTCTTATCTTTCTGTGGGAAGAAAACTACATAATGGGATTTCCCAAATTGTTGCATTAATAGCATTGAACAGATTTTTACCTTCTTTATTAAATGAAATACTCTTATGAGCTCATGTATTTACTTCCAGCTGGTCCTTTGGTGTGCTGTTGTGGGAGATAGTGACCCTTGGAGGAAATCCATACCCAGGTATTGCTCCTGAACGCCTCTTCAACCTGCTCAAGACCGGCTACAGGATGGAGAGACCAGAGAATTGCTCGGAGGAAATGTGAGCCCCACTTTGTTATTTTCCATTATCTCCTTGTTTCTATTGAGCGCATTAACTCCCATTCACCTTGTTAATCAGTCAGTGGTAAATAAGGACTGTTTTGAGGACGAAAGATACTTACACCATTGTTAAACATTTTCTTGTAGGTATAACCTCATGCTTCGATGCTGGAAGCAAGAAGCAGAGAAGAGGCCGACATTCTCAGACATCAGCAAAGAACTGGAAAAGATGATGGTGAAAAGCAGAGTATGGTGATGCTATATAATACCATATATTAAATTAATCTGGTCTTTCCAGGCTCAGCTGGTCTTAAAAGGCTCAGCTGGACAGTATTGGGGCTTGCTGTTTAGCATCATGTACACATGGACACTAGCTGTCTAACTCTACTTCACAATGAGCCACTCCTCCAGGATGCTTAACATACCATAACAAGTGTTTCATAGGTATTCCTGAAAATGTGGCCTTGGGCGGAATAATCACGGCACATACCAGTCAAGCCCCTGCTGTTGAATTGAGGCTAATAATAGAGAAGTTAAGGGGATGCTGAAACTCCAAGAATGCAGCAAGCTTGTTCTTGGTCTTTATTTAAGTTGATATGTCACTTAATGTAACAAGTAAAGGGGATTCATACATCAAAAAAACTGCAGGATCATTTTCAGTAGACCTCACTGAATGTTTTCTGACATTTAATCTAAGCACCCTGTCCTAGCCCCCCCCCCCCCCCCCCCCCCCATTCCCAGTAATCAACCTAATAACACCTTCATCTGCTTCTGTCAGGATTACCTGGACCTGGCGGCATCCACCCCAGCAGATGCCCTGCTGTACGATGACGCCCTCTCTGAAGAGGACACACCACTTGTGGACTGTAATAACGCCCCCCTCCCTCGAACCCTTCCCTCCACATGGATTGAAAACAAGCTCTATGGTAGAATCTCCCATGCATTTACTAGATTTTAGGAACAGAACACAAAACATAGGCTCAGTTTTTTTTCCACAAAGTTGTCTTTAGCTTTTTCAAAGTCAAGTCTCTGTGACTTTGATCTAGGCATTTCTTTTGCTGACATATCTCCCATTTCATTATAAATGAGAGGTTCAGTGAAAAAAAGATTGTGTCGTGACCTCTTTTTTTAGTTTGGACCTGCTTCTAATGTACATGATGCTCACTAAAATGCTTTAATGTAAATATTGAATATACAATTCATTTGAATTTAAATAGCACTGCTAATACTCATGCTTCATGTGCATTTATTTAAGAACATTTTATAATCCATCACATTTCCATTTCATTATTTATTTTTTATTGGAGGAGTGTAACATTGAAACAGGTCCTTGCTTAATCAATTACTTAAAATGTTTTTTAATTTCAGAATGTCTTAAATGTCCTGACTTTTTAATGTGTATATTAGCTATTAATGATATCACAATGCTGAACAGAGAAACAGTAAAGCTCTTGAATGCCATTCTCTGGTGAGATCCATTTTAAATCAATAACTTATTGTCAGTTTGTATTTTTGAATAGCTACTCGAAGGCAGCTACAGGTCAAATATACAGTCATGAATAGCCTCTAAATCTTACCAAAAAAAAGAAAAAAAAAGATATTGCATCTAACTTTATGCAGCATATACAAATCTCTAACTTTGCATACATGTAATAAATCAAATGCAGCCCTTCAAATCATGTCAGTACTTGTTTTAGAGAGATACAGAGTTTGAATTAAGAGCCTTACTGTACACTGTTGATCTTTCCCTGAGTTCAGAAAAATGATATGTTCTTATTTTTAGGCATGTCATACCCGAACTGGCCAGAGAAGAGCCCGGTACCGCTCATCAGACATGATGCCACTAATCCAGTCTTTACAAGATATGCCAATGATAGTGTTTATGCAAACTGGATGGCTTTGCCTTCACCCGCAAAAGCTGTGGACAAGCTTGATAGCTAAAGACAAACCAACTCTGTTGAAGAGATAACTGATTGGGAGATATGTATATTTCTAAAAGATTGTATATATGTTATCTGATACTAAAGTTGGTCCTTTCTATTTCTGTTGCACGGGTATTCAACGGGTAAACTGGGGTCATTTAAATGCAAAAGCAGCAGATATAGGCCATGCTTTATTCAGCTCTTCAGTACGTCAATTATTACCTCACAGATCATGTTGGCCAAGTAATTCCACTGCATGACTGTTGTACCAGATTGTATGCCAGTGTAAATGTTTTTAAGTGCCTGTGCTGCTTCTACAATAGTCTCAAAATACTAAAGTGTGACTGAAGATTTCATTCCAGCCCAGGAATTAAATGGGACATCTTTACCCTCACCTGTTGTAGGCAGCAGGAGTTGAGTGGACAAAAGCATAATGTTGAACATGTTCTGAAATGTAAAGTTTCTACTTTAGAAGATTGTGCCCCTCAAAATGTTAAAGACCTTTTTTGTGTTTCTCCCACGAGATGATTCAAAACTGATCTTGCCAAAGAAAGTAAAACAGACATGTTTAGTGCACAGTCATCGTGTACCTTGTTTGTTTGTTTTTGTATATGACAATATTACCTTGTGAGTGCTACTCCAGTGTAAGGACATAGGACTAAATGTAGATCGTGACCATGTCTTGTGTCAGACTACTGGTCAATTTTTGATTCACTGTAATGGCAATCTTTGTGGAAAAAGTATGATGTGAACTAACAAGTGTTATCACTACTATGTTGGTTTAATTTAATTTTGTTCCAATTAATAATAAACATTGATAATGTGCAGTATGTGTGTGTACCTCATGTGTCCAAAAAAGGTTCTAGTTGTTTATAACAATGATACAAAGCAACTTATTTTTGGCATTTCACACAAATTGGGCAGCTGTGGCTCACTGGTCATCTCTTAATAGGAAGGTTGGCAGTTTGATCCCCAGCCCCCCAACTCTTCGTAGTGTCCTTAGAAAAGACAATGAAACCCACATTATAGAAACCTTGTTTCTTTTATCCTGAAGGCATAGCCATATGTGAATGTGTGAAGGTGTTTGAGACTTTTTAGGTTTAGTATGTGCTGATATTTCAGTGTAACAATTGAATGGCCTCTTTGTTATTTATGAAAAATAATAGTAGGCATAGTTTTTAAGACGCTGACATCACTTTTAGAGGGGTACGAATAAAATATAGACAAAATATTATACCCACCACACCCATGTATGTTTTCTGGTGATTCTGCTTCCCTTAGAATTATTTGATAAAGGATATTATCCACCGTACTGTATTGACAGCAGATGCAATTCATGGACATTACCAAGATCTCTCTTTTTAGAGTAATATAAATCAGATTCAGCTAATCTGTTGTCACAGATCAGTTTGTGTTTACAAGTTGGAACAGGGGATTTCTAAACAGTATAACAAAGTAGTACGGCCATATCAAATTATTGTAAGTCATTACATTCATAGTAGCCAACCGAAGCAATATATAACATATAAATGACCCTGAGTAGGCTAATACTTTGCTCATGGTGAAATTGAACTAGCTTGATAATAATTGCAAAACAAATATAAACTGGATTGTTTTGTTATATAAAACATTGTGGTATAAAAGGATGTCCGTTGAAGTTATCTGGGAAATAAATACAAAGACGTTAAGCTGAACAAGAACCCTGAGCATTATATTAAAGGGCACTGCAGAACCGAAAGGGTTTATGACGTAAGTCTACATCCCATTGGTCAATTTTTCACCGGAAGTAGACTACGACCCACTCGTTTCTTTTTGCTCCGTGGCATTTTGTGGCACAGTGTGCTTGCGGAGGTTTCGTTCTTGGTCGTCGGCTCTAAACACAGACCTGAACAAAGACGACATAAGGTAAGTAGTTGGTCTTTCACTATCATAACTGCCAAGCTGACACTATCCGACCAGAATAACCTCGAAGAGCGGTGTAGCTCGGATCAATACACAACTAGCCAATGAACTCCGTCAGCTTCCGGTTTAGATTTTCCAAAGTATGCATTTCCGAGATTTACATTAGCACAATTTCTCGAAGGAAAGTTCTTTAAAATTAGACAGACGTAACACAAATTGATGCCCGTTTTAGTAAATATTCAGTTTTATAGTTAAACTACCAAACATGTCAGCCCATTCTTTGTTTAAAAATAGCTTTTTTTAATCTAATCCACACCTGTGACCAGGTAAAGAGAAATCCGTATAGAAAAAACAATGCATTAGCCTACTCTGTGTGCTGAAGGCTGTAACCATAGTTTAGACTCTTAAGACATTATTTTGTGTGGTATGTATGTGGTTGATAAGTTGAGGTGTCAACGATACTCAAGGCAAGATGCTGAGGTTCAATTAAGGATTTAATATAGTGGTCTGGTATTGGATTCCTTTAGCCTGAATCTCGCATTATCTGACCATGCTAATTCTGTGGTTGTACTGTGGCAAAATTTCAGCTACACGTATCCTTTTATTCCACGATTGTCCTCGAGAATTTCGTGCTTTTATTCTGGAAACTATGTTCGTTAACCGGATGTCAATCCTTAGATCAAGTTCGGAGCTAAACCACTATTTCTCTCCGTGCTGTTTAGCTTAGAGCTAGCTGCAAGCGCTTAAGCTGCAATCAATTCTCTATTTCTCAATTGTGACAAATGCTTAATGTGCTGTGTTTTGACTGAGTGAAATTATTATCAGTTGTTATTATCTTACTATTTAAATCTTAATAAGTACAATTAATTTATAAACTAACAAACTACCCTCTCTGTAGTAGATCCTTGACTTATTGTGGATTTCTGTAGTTTCTCATAGGTGATCATCATATGATCAACACAAGACAGATACATATAATCATTTTCCAAGCCAAGACACAGGAACAGCATTTGGCACATGACAGAACTGCATTCCAAACCTCAAAGATGATGTGCACACTGTAAAAAGGGGGACATAGGATGCAGACTTGCCAGCTATAGCTTTTAATGCTAGAGTGATGCCCAGGCGGGGGTTGCCACTCCAGGGCCGGATCCGCTGGCTTTTCCTCGGCCTCTTCCTGCTGCTGGTGCTGATGCTCTTTGCATACCTCCTCGAGTGCACACCTCCTGCAGATGTCAGCCTGGTCTTGCCTGGTTTAGCAGGGGAGACCTACAGCAGAGAGTATTACCAGGCCCTACTGCAGGAACAGGAGGAGCATCACCTAAACCGTGCTGCCAGTCTCAAGCGCCAGATTGCCCAGCTCAAACAAGAACTGCAGGAAATGAGTGAGAAACTAAAGCTTCTGCAGGAAAAGAAAGAGCTCCCTGGGGTCCAGGGTTTGGCTGAGACGAAAGACCAAGAGCCAGGAGATCTGCTGGAGTACCTACACTCACAGATAGACAAGGCTGAGGTCAACACAGCGGCACGCCTTCCTAGTGAGTATGCTTTAGTGCCTTTTGAGAGTTTCACCTTGTCCAAGGTGTACCAGCTGGAAATGGGGCTTACACGACACCCAGAGGAGAAACCCGTCCGTAAGGATCGCAGGGATGAGCTGGTGGAGGTCATCGAGGCAGCACTGGACATCATCAACAACCCTGATGAGGAGGATGGTGTTGAGGAAGACATGCCAATGCAGAGACAAATCTACACAGAGGGTCACTTTACTGAAGGTAACATCTGCATTATTAATGAATGGTGACTGTTAGTATGTTTTCTTGGTGTAGTATTCACTTTTATTATTATTCTTTTCAGGACTGTATAGGACAGAGCGAGACAAAGGGACGCTTTATGAGCTCTTCTTTGCCAAAGAGGATTCCACCAGCTTTCGCCACGTCACGCTATTCAGGCCATTTGGTCCCTTAATGAAAGTCAGGAGTACATCTTTAGAAACATCAGAATTAATCATTAACATCATTGTGCCTCTGGCAGGCAGAGTTGAAACTTTTTCACAGTTCTTGCAAAACTTCAGGTGAGAATTTACACAAACTGTTTCTGTCTATTAAACATAGCATGGTCAGTTCAGAAATAGATATTGACCTGGTCTTCCTCATCTTTTGTTTTATGAGACATTATCTTTGTTGTCTTTAATTAATGTAAAAATGAAAACATATGTTTCTAGGGAGGTGTGCATACAGCAGGACAGACAAGTACATCTCACAGTGGTTTATTTTGGACAGGAAGGTCTACAGGAGGTGAAGTCATCCTTGGAAAAAATTACTAGGTTTGTTATTTCACTGAGAAATGACTTTGAATGTGTTTGTTTTATTCCTAAAGGCAATTCGTCAAATGATTTTTAAACTACAGCATCTATTGTTTTTCAGGGAAGAGAGCTTCTCTAATTACACTGTGATCCCAGTAGAGGAAGAGTTTTCACGAGGTCGGGGTCTGGATATTGGAGCTCATGCCTGGAAGAAAGGCGACGTCTTGATGTTTTTTTGTGACGTTGACATCCATTTCACCCTGGAGTTCCTCAATACATGTCGTCTCCAAACTGCTCCAAGTACAGTTTTACATGATGTTGACCAGATTAACCATATTTATGCTCTCTTAAGTTTTTGTATGTATTTATGTTGGGTGTTACTAAGTCAAAATTGACTATTTTTTTAGATAAAAAAGTCTTCTATCCAGTGGTGTTCAGTCTATACAATCCTGCCATAGTCTATGGAAGTTTGGAGCTGGCTCCACCCACTGAACTCCAACTGGTAAGGCCTGAAAGTTCACTAACTATTACAGAGACAGTTATACAAACCCCATTCCCTAAAAAGTTGGGGCACTGTGTAAAATGAAAATGAAAATAGAATCTGATGATCTTCCAAACATTGGAAGCCTCATTATTAATTATAAATAGCACAGAGACAACATATCAAATATTGAAACTGAGAAACTGTTTTAGGAAAACAATGTGCCTATTTTGAAAATGTTGCCAGCAACACCTTTGAGAAAAGTTGGGACACTGGCAACTAAAGACTGAAAAAGGTGGAACATCTTTCAGTTTATTAGGTTGACAGGTTAGTGACATGATTAGGTATAAAAAGAGCAAGATGGCATGGGGGGTGCATTCATGCACATGGCATAGGTAACTTTAAAATGTGTGAAGGCTCTATGAATGCTGTCACCCATTGGAAATGTTTGGAGAATTAAAAACCATGAACTATTGACCAGCTGTGGCTCAGTTGGTGCAGTCGTTGCCTGTCAACCGGAAGGTCAAGGGTTCAATCCCCAGCTGAGCAACATGTCCGATGTGTCCTTGGACAAGACACTTAACCCTGAATTGCTCCCCCTGCTTCAGTGGCGGTGTATGAATGGCATTTATTACTTCTGATGGATGATACTACATAGCGATCATCACTACCATCAGTCTGTGAATGGGTGGGTGTGACATGTGGTGTAAAAGCGCTTTGAGTAGTTGGAAGACTAGCAAAGTGCTATATAAGCTCAAGTCCATTTACCATAGCTGTAATCCTACATCAAGCATGAATGGTGAAACATTTCAAATGTTTAAGGAACTGGTCTTTGAAAATAGGCACATCATTTTCCTGAAACAATGATATGTATCAGTCTTTGAAACCCCAGAATAAATCTGATATAGCACCATGTTTGGATAATCATCCCATTCTGTTTTTTTATTTTCATTTTACACAATGTCTCTGAAAAATCTTTCCTTAATATACTGTATGTGCAGTGGAAGTTTAACTTGACGCATTGTATTTCCTAATATTAGCATGAACTTTTGGCTCGACTAAATATGTGGTTTTCCCTTGTTTTTGTAATTTAACATGAGAATTTTCTTCCAATAGATTCACAAAAAAGATGCTGGATTTTGGAGAGACTTTGGCTTTGGAATGACGTGTCAGTATCGCTCAGATTTCCTTAACATTGGTAAGAACCTATCATTTAATTCATTTTTATTCTAAGTACAATCTAATGGTCACATTAACATACAATTTACAAATTGATTGTATGACTCCAGGTGGGTTTGATCTTGAAGTCAAAGGCTGGGGTGTCGAAGATGTCCACTTGTACAGGAAGTATCTTCGGAGTGACCTCATAGTCATTAGGACACCAGTGTCCGGTCTTTTCCACCTGTGGCACGAGAAGCAGTGTGCAGATGAGCTAACGCCAGAGCAGTACCGCATGTGCATACAGTCCAAGGCTATGAACGAGGCCTCTCACTCTCACCTGGGCATGTTGGTTTTCCGTGAAGAGATTGAATCTCACCTTCGCAAACAGGCCTATAAGACTCAAAGCAAAACAGAAGACTGAGCTTGACTCTACGTATTTCAACCTTAATACTGTGAGGAGCTGACATTATAACTGCACTACAGACATGTTTACATAGATCCTTCTGCATTTCACCGCACAGCTGCAGACAAATGAATGTAGTAAATATATGATCAATGTGAAGTTTCCACACATGGTACATCTGTTCTTGAAGCAGTCTCAATCATATGGTATACATTTTACCTGACAGCATGCTGTCATTGTCTCGGGACACATAACTTCTCATTCTGTCATATTACCTGCTTTAAATACAGCTCCTGAATGGGAACGGTTCTTCATCATTTTCACAGCTTGTACTGCATAACGTCCTTTTACTGCTGAGTGCAAACTCTGTCAGTTTTAGCAGACAGGATGATATCAAGCAATATAAAATACATCCAACCTGTCAACCTTTAGCATTTTAAAGAGGAAAAGTGCTTCAAATAAGTCCAGGTATTTTCCTCTAAAGTTAATGTCAACATTAAAAATGAGTTGTGGTTTCTTAAATTGAAAAAAAACAAAAACAAGTTGACTGCACAAGAAGCAGCTAGTTTCTATGGATTCCGAGCTTTCTGCAAGTTAAAAATAATGTTTTGGTTGTGGTTTGATAAGGGAGTGCTACTGCTTTGTACAAATTGTTCCAGAGTAATGATGTTAAAAAAGGGACCTTTTACTTGTTTTATGTGACAATTACTTTCTCTCGCAGCTTCCAAGTTAACAGAAAAGCAGGTTGACAAACTAGTTCTAGCATTTGCAGAGATATGCTTGTAGCATGCAGTGCTATATCAGGTCTATGTGGACCATTATTATTGTTTAACAAACTTTGTCAGAGATGTAATGTTACAGCCACACATGTAAATACTTTTCAGAAGTGTCTTTGTTTTATACACAAGAATGAAACGTTTGATGTATGTGCCTACATGCTTACAGTGATACAGAATCTTCAAACTTTGCTAAGTGGTGTTGATCTAATAATTTGTATTCCAGCTCATAAGAGAGGATATGTCTGAACAGTTCAGTCATTGAGGTTTTTTTCACAATTTAAGTGTTATTCTCATCCAATAGTGTAATAAATTTGATAACGTTTCAATAAACATATAGCAGCGTTTAGTCATCTCACTCTCAAGGAGAAAGGGTGTCTTTCACATGCACAATTTAAACAGAAGTTCTGCCAGTAAAATTATTTATTTAGAATTTTTGCCTATGAAATCTAAACTTACAGAGGTCTGAAAGAATGTCATGTTGCTGTTAGCATTTGGTTTCATAATGCCTATTTTACATAACCCTGACCAGTTTCATAATTTATACAATAAAAAAACAAAATATTACATTTTCAAGTGTCTTTTATTTAACTTTATAATCTCATTTGTATGCTTCTTAATTTAAGACAAATGGCACTATACATTTTATTAGTCAATCTGATACAGTAAACTACATGAATAGAAAATAAGAGGGGAGAAAATCAGAATGGGGAAACAACTCATCAAGGAAAAGCTTAGGAGTGTCCTATCTGTTCTGGCTGGATCCCCATATCCTTGTAGATCTCTTTGAGAAGAAGCAGAGTTGTGTCTTCAGATTGCCTGAAATGAACAGAAGTGTTAATATATAAGCTTTTCATTCATTGGCAACAGGCTTCATGTAAAATGTCTGACAAGAATGTAAAAGAAACAAGATTTATGGTTGAGTTTTATTCAGCTTCTTTTCAGTTTACTATAATTAAGCCCAATAAATACCTAAACATAATTCTCTGGAAGCAACTTGACTAAAAATTATTTGCATTGCTTGGTAATGAAATGCTATGCTGTCTGTCACTTAATAATGAATCATCTAATGATAGCAATTGCAAAGTGGTGGATGGATTGAATTTTCAAACCTCTTTTAACAGTAGTAAAAAGCCTAAGTGAAATCAAGTCCTCAGTACCAGTAGCAAAGATGACTCTGGAGGGCAAACAGGTACTCGTTGAAACTCTCGATGGGCTTCTCCTGCAGGACGTAGTCGATACGATTTCCTCCATTGAGCAATCCGATCTTCACCTCAGGCTCCTCTTCCTTTAGTGGCTCAAGGCTGTCTGGGATCTTGTGGTCTGAGAAAATACAGAATACAGTTAGAAGTCTCTCACTGACCTTATACATTGTTAGAGCTGTCAACATTCAGTGAAACCTACCCTCCCGAGCTTGCTTCTCCTGCTCTTCGATCTGATTGGCTACAATAGCCAGCTCAGCCTGAAGCTGGGCAGATGATGTGTGAGCACGAGCAAACTCGTTGAGCGTCTGCCAGGCAGTCCTCAGGGAGCTGATGAAACCGTGCTTTAGGTCAGAGCCCATCCTGGAGAGACTATCCTTCAGTTCTGTTACACAAAAAAAAACATCCATTATAAAATCAATCCCCATGAAAAGCGTTTCAAGGGATTTTAATAAGAACCAAAAGAGGTTTATGGAATTTGAACATTTACCTATACACAGATAATTGTCTTGATTTACAAATGGTTATTAGTGCATTTGAAGACTTCCCTTCACTCATACTAGACACACACACACACACACACACACACACACACACACACACACACACACACACACACACACACACACACACACACACACACACACACACACACACACACACACACACACACACACACACACACACACACACACACACACACACACACACACACACACACACACACACACACACACACACACACACACACACACACACACACACACACACACACACACACACACACGATTTTGAACACCAGTGACTCTGCCTTTAGTAACAACTTGGGGTTTTTGTTATGTGAATAGCAGAAGCCTGACATAAAACCATCAGTGGAACATCCCTATCAATAAATCTTTATTATCAACTCTTCTTTGGTATCATTTCCAATCTGGAGAACAATTAAACAGATTACTACTAAACCAATAGCTTATACTGCAAATGACAAAACAACCTTTCCTAACTGCCACTGTGACCATCAATGACCATTCAACTGAAAGTAGAAATACTATTTATATGTATTATAGACAACTACTTTCAAACAATATTTAAAAATGTCTATGGTTAAACTTTCAGTGCACATACGTTAGGGCAGAAAAATGAACAATGGCTGATGTTTGGGGAAACACAAATTAGGGATCAAATAATAAGCGTATGCTGTACCCAGATGAAGCCTCTTTCTTCCTTTGTGATGTGGGATCAAGACAGGCTTCAAGTCCAAGTCTGGTATTATCATGGGCTCAATCCTATATGCCACTGGATCCAACTGAAAGAAAATGGATTCAGTTATTGACAACCATTTGTCATTGAGAGAGTAACTCAGTTTCATTGATAATACTTGCAGCTTAAAGTTTTGATTTCTTTGAAGATTCATTCATATAAAGGCAATAACTAGATTTGACAATATTAAATATTGACCATGCTAATATTTATAATATACAAATTAGAAGGGCTGCATACTGGATGGTAGATATTGAAGAACCCCTTGCATGTGGGAAGCTGGTAAGTTTCTTCAATCTTTTCCAGACCTCTGACTGTTAGGAACATGCCAATTGGAGAACCCAAGGCAAAGAAATTGACTGGCTCGAAGTCCAGGGCCTGGTAAACCACTGACAGCTACAGAATCAAACATTAAGAAAAGTTATATTCATGTTATATCATCATTACATTTTATTATTACATTGAAAGTAACCTTCAAAGTTAGCTTTAAATGTGTCTTATCAGTACCATTTACCTGTCCTGTTCCAACTTCAAAGTAGTTGTAGTCGACATGGATGGAGGAGAAGCTGTTTCCAACTGGAAGAGTTTTCCCAGAGGCATCAGGAAGAGTTTCAGCTGCTGATGGAGGCGCCACAACTTGACTGACCTCTTTCACCTCTGCTTTCTTTTTTGCCTGACACATAGCCTTTGCATGTGAAAAAAAAGACAGTCACCACCAACAAGCTGCAAGCAACACTGGTGCTAAAGAGACAAATATACCTGCTTGTTCAGTCGTTCTTTGATGAACTTGGCAATCTTTTTCCTTGGACCAAGTGGGATTTCCATCTCTTTCAAGTCCTCAACCGTGCACATAAGCTGAAAGAATGCAACACCAGGGTAAGGGGAAACAGTCACTTTATATATATATATATATATATATATATATTATTATTTTTTTTTTTAAATAACATTCTAATCCCAGGATTTACTATGAAGCCCACTCATTGAAAGAGAGATGTGTTCCTCCATATGCCTACATTAAACCATGCTTTTATATGGTTAGGACTTTCAAGCCTGATAAAAGGATTTTCTATGGCAATGATTCTCAGTTTTTGAATTGTTCACATATTAAAAGGTGCTTAACTGAGCCAAGCCTTGCAACAATCATATCCCATCCATACAGGGTAAAAGTATAAAGCTTTTTAGTTTTAGGCAGTTACACTGGTACATGACTTGTACTCGTTATTGATCTGACAATTTGCAAATTCAGGGAATTGTATATGGTATAACAGGAAAGAAAATATGTCCACTAAAACATGGCCTGGAGCCTAAAACACTGGATAACACTTCTGACTTAATAACAAGCAGGCTTTTATTCTCACAAAAGACTCTTTGTCAATCCTCTCGTCATCAAATGTACTCTTGTACTCAGACAAGCCCAGATGTTCCAGCATAGCAGAAAGATCTTCAAACTCCTTCCCCTCTTCTTCCTCAGCTTGATGAGCAACAGCATTATTTTCCTGTGTAACGGGGGCTGCCACCTGATGTGAGAGGCAGAATAAACTATTATGTGCAGCATTGTTTTTGCAATTATCTATTACACAAAGAAGTGCTCATGATGAATTAAAATACTTTGTGTTTAAAAGAATAATAGATTTATGTTTCTGTTGAATTATGTATGACCTTTTTGGTGTCTCCATTAGCGGTTGCTATCATAGGCATGGCCACAGAGCTATTCTTCTGATTTGACAACAGGTCAAATAGAATCAAGGAACCTGCAGGTACAAGGAAGAAAAATCCAATCTAGTTTAAAAACAAGACAAATGGAAGCTGTGTGTATAAATGGGTTAGTAACCAGTTATTACCTAAGCTATGTCCCGCCACCGACATGCATCCTTTGTAGTCTGGGTTCCTCTTCATGAACAAGGCATATAGTCTGTTAATCTCTTGAGCAACTGTGTCCATGATGGTCTGACAGTAAGTGGGACTGTTGTAGAAAAGCACATCTAACAAAGTCTCATTTGTAAAGTGTCGTAAACGTCCAGTACTGGGCAAGGTAATCTTTTTTATCCTCCTACAAAGAGAACAAAGAAAATTATACATCTGGTGATAAAAAAATTTATATTCTGTATTGGTTATCTAGATGTATGTATTGGTTATCTAGATGTCTGTATTGGTTATCTAGATTTGGTTATCTAGATATAAAAAGTAAACAGCAACTCAGGGAGACAGCCTGGGATTGCTGTTCAGAGTGGTAGGAGAACTGGTTCCAACTTAGATATACAATACAGTGTTTAGTTTAGGAGATAAAACAAAGCAACAGATCATAGATAGCTAAACATGTTTTTATCTTCACATAGAAAGTATGTAACACATTTAACGATTCTATACAGGGCAAAGAAAATGTGGAGAAGCAGTTTTGTTCCCTTTTCACTATTTGTTATTATTTCCCACTATGATTATTCTTCATAACTAATATCTGAAAATACTTTCCAACAAATGCACTCACCCTTTGTTTTTTTTACTACAATGATTTCAAACGTCTTTGCAGTTCACAGGTTTATTGAGCCATTTTTAAACTGAAACTTTATTTATAAATCTGAACCTGTTCTAAGTGTGTGATGGCCTCAGACAGGTATTGAGTTTAACAATCTGAGCAGGAAAACTAAATGTTGGTAGTGGTCTTTTTATGACAATTGTCAGAATTATACAAATATACATTTGGTCCGTCCTTCCAGCAGTTACCTTCTGTACAATGAATCAATACCTGTCCAAAAGATTTCAGAATATCAGATGATAAAAGAGACCGAAGAGGGTATGTGTGTGTAGATGAAGGCTTCAGATTACGTGTGAATTCATTACACAGTCAGTGTAAACCTGCTTACCTGTCCACTCCAGTAGCATCCCCATGTAGAGCTGTGTGCCACTGGACAGGGAGGAACTCCACCCTGCTGATTGTGTGGTTATCCAAGGGGTTCTTAAAGTGACTGTTCAGCAGCTTCAGTGATACACTTCGGAAGTCATCCACTGAAAGCACAAGGATTTTTAGAGTTTATTTGAAACACGACAGGTATACTCAAACTGGCAAATGGCATGATTAAATGGTACTTACCACACTCGACCATGCTCCTAAACCTCAGGTCACACACAGGACCAATACCGTGAACCATAAACACAATATGATCCACCTTGGGAAGCTCACCTGGAAAACGGTCCACAGGATTTCACATAGGTCACTAATCTAGTCTTCATCCATATATATGTTTTCAATATTAATTAAGTTTAGCACATTTACAACATTTATGACGAAGTTCAAGCTGAGATTGTTTGATAAACTTTTTTTTCACTTGGATTAAATGAATTGAAATTGGGATATATCTACCATCAGGCACTTCATCATGGTCATCATCAATCCCCCTCTTCACCACTCTGGGCCTGGTCTGTCCGTCCTGAGTTGTGCCCCACTCATCTGGCATGGAGGAGGGCTGAAACTGCACAATGACCTACAGAGACAATCAGAAGTCAGTAAATCAGACTAGTGAAGATCGCAACTGAATGCTCAACACCAAGAGTTTACCTTTGGATTGTGCATAACAATGGTCTCTCCAGATGGAAACTCTAGCCTACGGTGCCACTGGTTGGTAGACACAGCTTTCTTATATTCTGCCTGAGTTATAGAAAAAAGAAAACACAGTGATGTGCAATACAATAATTCCACGTCCATTGTGCCAGCTGATGCAGAACTGGAAGACAACTAGCATGTGTTTGACTCGAAGGGCGCACTACAATTGCCCTAATAAACTTTGTTACAAAAAAGGATGTTTTTTATTGACACAATACCCGTTTGTGGTCATACCTCAAGCTTTTCACTAAACTCCTCAGAGTAAGGAATAAAGCGACTGTCTGTATCCCCTTTGTAGAACCAAGAGCAGCGCCGAACTTCTGTAGGCTCCTCCTCCCAGTACACTGCAGTTCGTACTCTGTCATACAGCTGCACATCATAACGCCCACCGTCTGTACGCACAATCACATTTTCCGGGTCTGGTTGAACTATAAGGACAAAGAGCCTACATTAGAACCAGTCACAGTGAAAGTGCAATGTGAGTGCTTCGATTATCTGGGTGTTTGCATATCACCTGAGTTATATGTCTCCTCTAGCTGAAGGGAGTCGATAAAACTGAAAGGAAGCCAGACACTCTTTGATTCCACTTGCTTGCAGTAGAACCAGTGAGGCTGAACAGGCTCATAGACACTGTAGTTGTATGGCATCATGGGACCAGTAGGAACTAGTGCTCCGGCAGCAGAGGCTGGAGCTTGAAGTGTTTCAATCTGTGTTGGAGGAGACTGACGAGAGATGAAAAACTCTGATCCTTACTTTTTCATTAACTGGTGCAGTTAACATTCATTAATAACACATATCCAACCAAGTCACTGATAAGCTTATATTTACCTTGGTGAACGTGTTTCCTGATGGTGGGAAGGTCTGTGGCGGAGAGCTGAGAGAGTATGGATTCTGCTGAGGTGTGTGTGTTTGTTGCAGGATCTCTGGCGCTGGGATATAAGGACTGGCTCTGCTGGAAGTGGAGGTGTGTCTGTAAGGATTAAGAGCCTGACGCTGCATCTGGGGAGGTGGTGAGGTCACTGTGGTAGGTGGAGAAGTGTGACGCCCTATAGGGCTCTGGTAAACATGGTTGCCAAACGCGGAAGCAGCAGGATTCATATGTGAGCCCGGAGTTGGTAATGAAGCCGTGCTGAGACTGCTTGGGACAGAAACCGGGCATGTTGTTGTGGGCACTGCTGACAGGGCAGGAGGCGGGCATGGTGACTGACCGATGGATGCGAATGGATCAGCACTGGTTACAGAGTTGGCAAAGTAGTTGATTGTAGAGGGGGCTGATACATTTTCAGAGTTCTGACCAAGAAAGCTGTCTTCTTCTCCAACATCAGTTGAATCATCTAGTGAATAACGACAGCAACATTTAGGCTTAGAATCGTGGTAAGAGTTTTAAAAAAGAAAAATAACCAAAATGTTAATAATAAATGTCTTATTAGCATTTTGGTTAGTATTGTATATGTCAGATAAATAAGGTATATGGTGTAACAGTTATAAACACCTGGGTTGCTGTGAAGGTGGAAATACAGTTCCGTTTTAAACACTACCAAGATCACAATAAAATGTTGAGTTGTGCCACATCGCACAGGATACCTAAACATTGAACAGTCTGATAGGCAGATTGTCACTCAGGCTGTCGCTCTCTGTTTCAGTTTCTTCTAAGATGCAGGTCCCTGTTCTCCTGATCACTAGCTTAGCCGTACAGCGCTAAAGTTGAGAAATATCCTGTGTCAGTGTCAACTCACCTCCGGCAAACACCACCGGACCTGTGGCCTGACCCACTGGCAGAAAAGGCAGGTTGAAGTTAAACTCCGGAGCATCGCTGAACAGTAAATTTGCACTGGCGTTGGGGGCATTATTTTTTCTTTCTGCCATTTTCCTTAGAATTACACGTAGCAACTACCAGAAGAGGGACACACATTCAGTTCCCCAATCAGCAGTTTCCTGCCTCCATATTTCAATGATCTATATATCATCGGCAGTCGCCTCCCATTACTACAACATGGTAACACATGATATATAGATCTACTTAAACCACGCAGCTTATTTGACCACATTTCATTGGATGCAGAAAAACAAGCACTTCCCCTTACTGTTGCCCCCTACCGGCTGGAAAACGATGTACTTGGCATGTACACTTTCAAGTGTGCAAAGCACAACGTGTTTAATAAAGAGTTTAAATATAGGTCCAACACACGCATTTTATATTCATTTTATACTAACCACACAATCGACATCAAAGTAGAGCTAAAACTCCCGATACAGCCTGGAAGTGGAGTAGTGCGGTAAATAAACAAACTTCTACGAGCACCGGTGCGTCCTTTTATACAAATCAAGCGAACTACACTTTTTCACTGATGACGTGAGTTTCCCGCCCTGACTCACCAGAGCCTGCGTGGGGAAGTTAACAGTGTTTTCACAGCGATTTGCTTTGGCTAATTTTTCATTTGACCGACTTTTGCTACTGGCTAATGATGCCTTCCACACAGGACTGGATCAACAACCCTCTCACAGTGATTCAAGGGATGTTTGGTATGTGGCAGAAGAACACTTTTCAAACTTCACTTTGAAAGCCATTGTGAACCTGGTTAGCTCTATAGCCACGTATTATGCTAACTATCACGACCACACAGCTTTCTTATCCCTTAGAAACACATTTATTTGAAGTTTATGCGTGTCGTTGGTCGCTAACTACTTTTCTACAACCGGAACTCAAACCGTTTTCTCAGCTCGAAAACGGGCGAGTCTGTTTAAAAACCTGCATAATACAGGGTCTAACCATACACTTTAAACTCATAAATACTTAGCATTACTTTTCTGAATGCAGCTGTTTGGCTTAGATAGAGAAAGGCTACTAGTGTTTTTTATGAGCTTGGCATGAGCTTGGCAACTTCAGAGGTTATGGCATTATGCTACTTATCTTTGTTAAGATCTGCATTCAAGTGTTCCTCGGATGTTCTCGTTCTCCCGTCTTCAGTGTGTTCACGTGCTTTCAGTTGGGACGTTGTATCAACAGCAACTTAATTTGCATTACGTCAATTAATAAAAGTCATACACCCAATTCTTTCCCGATTTTCCGAATTGTTGTTTCCACTTGAGCAGGCGTTTATGTTCATTTTCCAACTCAGCTTCTTTTGTCCATCAGTGTAAAGGCATAAACACTCACAGTTACATGAAATCATGAGAGCAAAAAACTAATTTTTATTCCTTAAAGTAACCATATTTTATTTGAAGTAGGATGCACAAATATCTGTTATGGTTATGTCGGTCCGAAATGTGTAAATTACAATCATGCAGCTACTGTAGCTCATGTCCATAGACTGTATATATTGAAGTGATGTCGGTTGAAATCCTCACTCATAATAGTCTTTTTTATCCAATACTTACAGAATATGGCTATCAATTTCCTTGTCTTTTACTTTGAATGACACTGTGTATTTTCAGTCCTGGACAACAATCAGCCTTTCTGGAGACAGTTCACACAAAAACAAAACCTGACATGCTTTAAAAATTGCCATAAACAAAATATACATAGTTCTGAATAACATAAGGCTACTTTTCTTTTTGTATTTAGCTAACTCACAAAACATTCCAAACTCTGGATGGGAGGCAAAAGTGGTTGATTTCTTTAAGGACCATCTAAAAAAGGACAATGCTCATACTTGGGTAATGCTTCTCTTGTATCTTTTCAACATAATCATTTCAGCACAGCTGAAAGCACACAAACTAATAAATAACAACCACATATATTTTGGTGTAGGTCCCATCTTTGAATGATGTGCCTTTGCACTACCTGAAGCCCAACAGCCTGGTCAAGTTTCGTTGCTTCATCCAAGACATGTATGATCCAGAGTTCTACATGGGAGTGTATGAGACTGTTGATCCATCCACAAAGGCTAAGGTTTGTGTTTCCTGATACTCTGCAATTAGAAGTACTGCCCTTTCAACTATCTTGTGTTTGATAACATGTGAGATGCTTTCATGTTATCATGCTATACCCAGGTGTTGCAATGTGGGAAGTACAAAGATGTAACAGAATGTGGGGTAAGTCAGCCTCAGCCAAATCACTCAAGAGATCAAAAATCCCTCAATTCCAGTTGACATACTAATATGTGTTTATCAACAGGTGGATTTCAACTCAAGAAACACTGTGACTGCAGAGAGGCAAACTTTCTACTGTGTGCCAATTCCTGGAGAAAATCCCTGGGTGAAAGAAATATCCTAATCTAGTCCTCACAGTGCCATACTTAAAAGACAGAGAGGAAATACATATTCAAAGTTGACTTTCTACTGCTCCCTAGCTTTCCTTAATTCTTGCACAGCTATGCCAGCCTAAGCCAAGTGAGAGTTGTTCCTTCAACCTCGTATGCACCCACCAGACAGAAACGGAGCTATGAGGAAGAGGAAGACCTAAACGTGCTGAAACAGAGGGAGCCACCTACTGGTATGTGGGAGATTTGACTCATGAAGCCAGATACTAAATAGAATCTCTGTTTTTTAGGTGTTTCTTTTTTATTATTGTAAATGAAACTTTGTTGCTTGGTTCGTAGTGCTAAAACTTTGATTCCAGCAGAAGTAAGCTTGATTTTGATGGTATTTAACTCAAAAGCAACTTTCCAATGTGAGATGTTGACATAAATGCAGACTAGTTCTTCTCTCACTGCAGGTCCTCCAAGTAACACAGAACAGCACAGAAATGGAGACTCTAAGCGGCAGGAGACAGAAGCCCCTTCCAGCCACATGGCGTCTGCCTCTCATCTTGACCTAAACTTCCCCTTACCAGGAGAGAAAGGCCCATCCTGTCTAGTCAAGGTGTGTTATGTATCTTAACATTGACTTTTGGTACCTTTCATACCTTTATATTATTGCAATGAGATAACATTTGAAACAATAATAGGTAATAATAATAGGTAGTGCCACCGTTATCAGCAGACTTTGTGAATAACAGAAGCTAAAAGGTGCTTGGTGTTGGCAGGTTTACGAGGACTGGGATAGCTACAAACTGAATGACATAGTAGAAGTCTATGGAATCCTCTCTGTCAACCCAGCTCTCAGTGCATTTGACCACAACAAGTAAGAGATATTTACCCAGAATCCACCAGATACGTGTGCATTACGTGTCAGCTATGCTCCCACAAGCTGCATTCACAGAGCAGCATCGCCAGACAGCTGGAGTCCCTGCGGTCATTACAGAATCACAGATAATACAATGTATGTCGTACCTCATACACTCAACAACAAAAACACAAAATAGAGTGTTTTATTCAAAAAACAAAGCAGCTGTTTTAATGTATCTGTGCATGACTTCCTGTCCCGCTCTATGGTAAATTGATGGGCCATGCTCCGGCATCTGGCAATAGTGGAAGTCTTGTGTATCTGCTTCAAAGTACTGTGGACTTCCAGAGGTCAGGAGCAGCGCAGCTGAGCACAAACATTGACTGAATTAAAGATCTATCAGCTCCAGAGTGGAGACGGACTGAACACATATCTGGTGGAATATTAGGATGAATTTCTCTCTAATGGTGATGTGCATGTTTGTTACTCATTCTTGGCATGTCTGCACAGAGACGCCACCTCATCCCTCCTTGACCCTGCAGAATTCATGGAGATGGCAGAGGAACAGAGAGTGCACAGTCCACCGACCTCGCTCGTTCCTCGCCTTCACATGCTATACGCCAAGCAACTGTCAAACAACAACCCCCTGCTGCCCTCAGCCACCTTGGAGAACGACAGTTCCTGTATGAACCAAATATCGGAGTATAGATGCTTATTGATAATCCAGTTCAGTTACTATGAATATTTCATCCTCAGAAATATATTTAAGTGCATTAGTTCTGATTGATAACAATGTCCAAGAGACGCAAAACAATGTCAGGGTCAAATAATAAATAATGCTGCATCTTGAAACATATTTTAATGAGCCTAGCCACAATTCATACTAACTTCATCACTGGTTCTAAATAAGAGCTGCTGTCAGGTTTACTACATTTAGAAATGTGTTTGACTTAAATATTAATAGTTTTCAGCTCAGCAGACAGATCAATGTTAAAATGTGTCATCAATAGGAATGTCTGGGTGTTATTATAACAAGGCTGTTAAAGCTTTCTAAGCTTTAAAGGACAACATACCTGTAGTATCAACAGGAATATTTTTTTTTAACTCTTTTTCTTTTCTCCTCTTCAGTTCTATCTACAACCTTGAGCGAGATGGCCTCAGTCAAGGCGGAGCTGCACACATACTTAACTCATGTTCTTCTGGGAGATACTCTTGCTGCAGAGTACCTCATTTTGCATCTCATTTCTAGTGTGTATGTCAAGTTTATTTATTACTGTTAAAGTCAACACAAATTGATAAGTGATAAAATTCACTCCAAACCATTGTTTATTACAAGCAGCTGATACTTGCTATCAAAGACCCAATTTGACGAGAGAGATAAAAAATGAAAACATTTCTAACATTGCTCTCATCAAGGTAGACAATTTGTCAGCAAATGACACACATACCATTACTTAGTTTAAAATACAAATCTGCTGGACATCTAGCTGTTTTATCCAGAACCTACTTCTTGAACAGTATACAATCTGTAGTAGCATTCCTCCCTTGTTACATCATTATCATTTCTTACAGAAGTGCTTCTATAACATTGATTAATGAATACCTTGGTATGGAATTGGTTTGGTTCACAAGAGTTCTCCATTCATGTTCTCAAGCATCTAGTAAAGCAGGGCTGATACAGGTGTATGTGCATTAGCCACATGCAGTTTGCATGGACTGTAATCAGGACCTTGCATTACAGCAGGGCTTTTGTCTTATCACAGTGTGATTCATTTTTCTTGAAGATACACCAGAAGAGATGTACTCCCACTTGGAAAGTTCACCTTGAACCTGAGTGGCTGTCCAATAGTCGCCTCATACACTGAGCGTCTATACCAGATCATTCAGCAGCTCGTCCCTTCTGTGAGTAAATCTGTACCTTTAAAGTGCGATTTTAATTGATTTATGTCAATTGAAATGAAAGACACTGAATGTTTTTTTTATCGCTGCAGTCATACTATCTGGGCATGAGCCTCCAGAACATGAACCAGTTGCGATTGGTGCCCAAGAAGGATTATGT